CCCCAAAACCCCAAAACCCCAAAACCCCAGAAGGAAAATTAGTGAGCAATATTGTATTTCTGAAATTAATTAAAAAAACAGTAATAAAAATTATTATTTTTGATTGATGATTTGATCGATTTAATAAATTTGAATTCTTAAAAAATATACCTTTCACATTATTAACTAATCTTAAGAATTATTATGATTTGAAAATTATTGAATTATTGGAGTATACATAATTCATCTCTTTCGGAGTTATCTCCCCCTAATAAATAAACAAAATTCTATAAAGATCAACGATTATCACTAATACCATGTCTGATTAATCTGTGGACTTCCAGCTTATCAATATTTTTATATCACATTATTTTTGAATTTTTAAAGGTAAATACTCCAAAAAGTTTCACGCCATCTTATATTGACAAACTCTAAAAATTAAAAATGTTCAAAAGCACTCTTATTTCAGAATTAGTTTAAATTTCATTTCTATATTAAACACTGGGCCTATTTCCCTATAATCCAAGTCTTTTTGATATTTTAAGTTATTTATATAAGGATTATGTATCATCCATATCTCTCATATCTATTGACTAGCAGGTCTATATTAGACACTCGATTTCAAATCATTGTAATAAATTTAAATTATGATCTCAAAATCACTTTTTAGCGCTTTATTTTTGGTGTCCAGCACCTTAGCAATCCAACTATCTGATGTCCTATAGAAGAGCAGAGTTCAGCTTTAGTGGAAGCAAGAAGCTACAAACAAGTTTAGCTGGAATGCTACATAAGAATTAAAATGGTCAGTAGCGAATGCATTTATTGATGTGCAGACATCACCAGATGGAGATGTTTATGCAATTCAAAATATTAGCTCAGAGATGAGTTAGCCCAAATATCACATCTACATGTACGATATCACCACCAATGTATGGAATCTCACTGATCCCGCCTTCCAAGCAAAAGCTATAAGATTTGATAGATTAGGCTCCAAATTTTATCTTACTCCAGAAAATTGCGTCCTCAATAATCAAAAGCAAACATTATTATGTGGTGTCTCTGATTTTGAGGTTACAGTAGACAAAAAGATATATGGACTTATTGATAACTCAGGAAGATAGCAAGCTGATACACTTTCAAGTTCTATATGGAAGACAGCTTCGAATGATAGTAGCTACACCTACAAGGCTCTTGCTGGATATAAGGGAATCACATTACTTAAAGACCAACCCATATTAATTAATCAAGATGGCAGAGTTGACGCTCAATATGGATCAGAGAAACTTATAAGTATTAGTGCTGGTATTGACGGCTCACTTTGGGCTCTTCTTGATGAGATCAATGTCACTGATTACACAGTCCTTAAGTGGCAGACTGTTTCTTAAAAATGGTATAAGATTACAGGCGTCTCTGGAGTAAGTCTCTCATCTTACAATGAAATTTCAGTGGCTATAGTCGATTCTAAGGGACTACTCAGTCTATCATCACAGGTTGGGCACTAAGATGAGGCTGCTTATGTTGTAGAGACTGCTCCACCTACTATAGCTCCATCAACAACCTAATCACAGACAACTATTCCTTAAACAACTATTGCACCAACAACTATTGCACCTACTACTAATCCACCAACTACAACAGTGCCAACAACTGTTCCACCTCTTCCTATTGTGCTTTCTCAACCATCAAACTCTATTCTTACTCATTCAGACTTCAAGTGGCTCTAAACTGCTGTCACAGGCAAAAACTTCACAGAGTTTTCACTATTATTCTCAGCTACAAAAAATACTAAATCCCTTGCGGAAGCAGTTAATACCATTCTAGGGAAAAGTGACGTCTTCGTTTTAATGAGAACAAACACTTCTGTAGTTATAGGTTTTTATTACAAAACAGCTATTGCTTAAGCTAGTGATAATTATTTATCATCAAATAATGAGCTAACAGCTTTATTATCTGTAACAAAGCAATTACGCTTCATGGGAATCACTGATTAAAATCGTCACTTTGGACTTTTTAACAACAACAGGTATATTCTTCTTAATGACTAAGGTGGAATGACTTTTGGACTGAACTGCTATGTTGATTCTACTATAGATATGACCTTAGGCAAAGATCGTGTTAGATAATATAAGAATGTCTCTGGAAATGCACTTTATGAACCTAACAATCAATTATCAAACAATTCAGACATTAATAATGATTTTGTCGAATGCTAACAGATTGAGATTTATCAAGCTAAGCAATGAGATACTTACCTTTTATCTCTACTTAAGATACCTAGCTTTTGTAAGATCTAATGATTTAATATAAAGGAATCATTAATTTGTCAAAAATATTCTATACCTTATAATATTCTAATAATTATTTATTTGAATTATCAAATTTATCAAAATTAAGGGCTAAGGGGTTTTGGGGTTTTGGGGTTTTGGGG